AGAATTCTTCTATTTCATCCTCACTGGATTTAGTGGTTGGTGTATAAATTTGAATAATAGTGGTATTAACTGGGCTTCCCTGGAGGCGCATGGATATTATCCTATCACATACAGCTTTGTACCTCATGACTGATCTGGATATGTTCTTTTTGACAAATGTTTTAAATCCTGCTTTATTAACATTTTCCATTTCTATCATGTTGTTGTTGTTGTTATGTGCCGTGGAGTCGTTTCCAACTCATAGTGGCCCTGTACAGGGTTTCCGAGGCTGTAAATCTTTACTGGAGCAGAAAGACTCATCTTTCTCCCACAGAACAGTTGGTAGTTTCTAACTGCTCACCTTGTGGTTTGTAGCCCGATTCGTAACCACTACGTAGCCCAATTCGTAACCACTACACTACCAGAGCTACACTCATAAGTGTTTTAATGACTGTGAACCAAGGTCCACGGTTTGAGCCAGTCAGTTGCTCTTTGGGAGACAGATGAGGCTTTTTGCTCCCTCAAACATTTAAAGCCTTGGAAACCCTCTACGGCTCGCTATGAGTTGGAACCGACTCAATGACACTAACAAAAACATTAAGTTTGTTGAGGTGATATAATAATTAATCTGACAGCTGGGATGTTTTCAGCATTAAAACATGACAGCTGAGATAACATGACTGTGACGCAGGCCTTTTATTTTCCTAGAAGAGGCAACCTTTAGGGTATGCTATTTTGTATGCCATTATGAAAATGGAGTCTGGTACAGCGCTAAAGGATAAGCACTGGATGCAAGGTCAGTTAGAACGGCAAGATTGGCAGTTCAAACCCACTAGCTGCTCCTGATACAGAGTTGCTATGAGTCAGAACTAACTGACAGCATTTAACAACACTACAAAAAATATTTAATACCAAACTAAAAAAAAAAAAAAAACAGAAGAAAAAATACTAATAGCTGATTATAAAATAAACTTTAATGCAAAACCCAGGATAATAGATGTAAACTATCACACAATAAAAAATTAACCAAACTAAAAAAAAAAAAAAAAAACCACTGCGGTGGAGTCGATTCTGACTCTAACAGTATTAAGACAGAGCAGAGCTGAGTTTGTCTGTCTATGGGAGCAAACAGCTCATCTGTCTTCCTTGGTGTACCTGGTGGGTTCAAACTTCCACCCTTTCAGTTAGCAGTCCAATACTTAATCTATGACACCACCAGGGCTCCTAAACTATTTTAATATGATTGTTAGGTGCCAGAGTCCGTTTCAACTCAAGAAAACCTGTGCACAACAGAATGAAACACTGCCCAATTCTGAGCCATCCTCAAAATTGCCGTTCCGTTTTGGCCCACTGCTGCTGCTGCTCTCGTAGGGGTTCTTCTTCTACGGTGCAGCTATTGGTCTCTTCATGTGCAGAAGAAAGTGATAGAATTTAAGAGGCTTGGAATTAATTAGTCCAGTGGACTAAAGGAACATGTGAACATCAGTCTCCATGACTCTAGAAGAACTAGAACTAGAAGAACTAGATGATGCCTGCCTACCTCTACGACCACATTAGAGAATTCCAGACAGAGTGGGAGAAAATGTTGAACTACTCAAATTTAAAAAACAGACCGGGTTTACTGGTCCGAAAGAGACTAGAGAAACCCCAGACTATGCTCCTCAACTACCCTTTAGTCTGGAAAGGAACTCACCGTCACAGCCCAATTCTCAGCCAAGCTGTTGGTTGTTGTTGTTAAGTGCCATCGAGTTGGTACTGACTCATAGTGACCCTATGCACAACAGAACGAAATACTGCCCGGTCCTGGGCCAACCTCACTATCACTGCTATCCCTGTGCCCAATGCTGCTGCCACTGTGGTAATTCATCTCATTGCAGGTCTTCTTCACTGATGCTCCACTTTACCAAACATGATATCCTTCTATCCAGTGAGTGGTCCCTCCTGATAATATGTGTGAAGTATCAGAGATGAAGTCTGGTCATCCTGTCTTCTGAGGCACACTCTGGGTGTACTTCTTACAATTACAGATCTGTTTGTTCTTTAGCAGTACTGGTACTTCCTCTGCAATTTGTCCTTCCCATCACAGTCAATCCTGGTTATCAAATCAAAAATGGTCAGTCCATCATAGTTCACTAATGCCTAATATATGTGTGCCATTTCATTCATGACAACTTCCAATTTTCCTAGATTCATGCTTTGTACATTCCATGTTCTGATTATTAATGGATGCTTACAGCTATTTCTCCTCATTTTTAGATGTGTCCCATTAACAAATGAAGGTCCCGAAATCTTTACTCCATTCCTGTCACGGTCAACTCTACTTTGAAGCGACAGCTCTTCCCCAGTTATATTTTGAGTGACTTCCAACCTGAGAGGCTCATCTTCCGGCACTATATTTGACAATATTCTGGTGTTATTCATGTTTTCATCTTCTTGCACTGTATCTGACAATGTTATTCTGCTAGTCATAAGGTTTTCAGTGATTAAACATTCAGAAGTAGTCCACCTCTCCTTCTTCTTTGTCTGTCTTAGGCTAGAAGCTCAGCTGAAACCTATCTACCATGGGTACCTTGGTACTAGTGGCATAGTTTCTAGCTTCACAGAAAGGCACAAGCCATCACAGTACAACAAACTGACGGATGAGTCATGGATGTATTTTAATAGCTACTATATATTAAGCAACTATAATGTGCTAATACTCTGCCAAGGGCTCTATGAGGGCCATTCAAAAACTTCGTGGGAAAATTCCTGAAGCTCCCTTTTGTATGTATATATATCTTATCTCATTTAATACAAATTCTATAAGAAGTATATCACTATTATTTTACAAAGGAAAAAATTGAGGTTAAATAATCTGCACAAGATTATCCCACAAATAAAATGGAAGAGCTATGAATCCTGGTCTATTTGACTATCAAGTTCATAGTATTAACAACTGAATAGTTATTTCTGTTCTAAAAGGTAAAAATTACATAAAAGTTAAAAAATCAAAACAGAAGGTATCATTCCCCACCCCCTCTTATAGTCCATCCCATCAGCCCTTAAGATATCAGATGCCTGACCTTCTCATCTTCCTCCTCCTCCTCTTCACTGGACTCCACGTCATCCATGTCCTCTTCTAGGGCACTAACCCGAGGCTCCAATTGTTCAGCTTCCTCTAGCACATAGCGTTTCTACAGAGAATGAAGTTAGAGTTAAGAGCTGTCATCTATAACTTGATACTACAGCTGAGGCACTCTCATTTCAACAATAACCTTAGCAGTTCAAGTTTCCCAAGGGTTTCACCATAGCTGAAATTTGTACGTTCCTTAAATTAAGCTCCCTGTGAACAGATAAACACAAATTTTATCTGTTCTAAAGGGAACATTTTCATTTCTATACTGAAATATCAAGCAGGACAGGCACAGCCTACAAACAAAATTATGGGTTTTAATCACTCAGGAAATTCAAGGGACAGCAAGTTCATGACGGAGACTGTCGGCTGGTAGCTCTACCATAAGACGCCCAACCCAGAAGCTACTCTAAGAGAGTCACTGAGGCAGCACTGTGGGCTAATGCGTCAGACTGCAAAGTAGTTTGAACTGCAAAGTTGGTGGTTCAAGCTCACCAGCTGCTCCTTGGAAACCCTACAGAGGGTCACTATGGGTCAGAATCAACTCGATGGCACTTAACAACAACAAGCCCAGTATGGGAGTGGAAGAATGCCTTGGGTCCTACTCTAGAATAGTGCCAAGTCTTCACTAGACCTAGGATCCAGATGCTGTTTGGATTAATGCATTTTAGACTGAGCACAGGAAATAAAAAATGCAACTCATCCCCTGGCTCTTCTTGTATGTGGCTTAGCAGTATTTATGAAGTGAGCTGATAAGTAAAATTGAGTTGAAAACTGTGAAAGTCGTCTGGTTGGGTCACAAGATCCTTACCATTTTCCTTTGCCAAAGACATAAAGACTGTGGGTGGCCTAGACTGAAAGCCCTATAATCTGTGCATACTACTTATTATAAAAATCCTCTTATGGTTGAGAGGCAGGCCATTTGTTGATGTCAGCTAGCAAAGGAAAAGGGCTCTCCAGGATCACCAGTTTGGAATCTGGAACTATGTCAGACACGGTACACCCACTAAGTCCCTCATGCCCACCAGACTCAGAAGAGACTGATGTCAATATGTTAACTCAAGAATATTTGTGTTTAATAGAATGAGAATACATGTATAATCCAGAGCCAATGTTGGAGCAAATCAGAAGCTAAACTGATGACCTGCAGGTTGCTTACCAGGAACAGAATCAAAACAAAATGTAGTCACTCAAGACACACACCAGAGCACAACTCTCACTGACCTGAACATTTATCAGTCAGCGTCAGATTTCAGTTTCTCTCATTTGGGCAAAATCCATGGCCATCGACTCATTTCTGACCCAGGGCGACCCCATGTGCTACGGAGTAGAACTGGTCCATATAATTTTTACGGCTGTAACCTTTACACAACAGTCTTGTTGTGGCACTTCGGGTTAATGCACTGGATTGCAAAGTCGGTTTGAACTGCAATGTCAGTGGTTCAAGCTCACCAGCTGCTCATCTAAAACCCTATATAGACAGGGTCGCTTAAGTCAGAACTGATTCAACAGCACTTAACAACAACAATCTTTACAGAAGCAAGTCACCGTGCCTTTTGTCTGTGGCAGCACTGAGCGAGCCGAGCCACCAACCCGGAGGTTAGCAGTCAAGGACTTGATTTAAAAAATTAGCTAAAGATAAAAAATAAAACTAATATAACTCACAATGAGCTATTGCAAGAATTCATTTTCTCTTTGTTATATAAATTGTTGTTGTTGTTCATGTTAAGTGCTGTTGAGTTGGTTATGACCTAATAGTGACCCTGTATAGGGTTTCCAATGAGTGGCTGGTCAGCTTGAACCACTAACCTTGTGGTTCAAACCGACTTTGCAATCCAGCACATTAGCCCACAGCGCCATACCAGGACTCCACACACTACATTAACTTGTATGAAACTTGAGTTATACCACAGCCATTTTCAGGATTTTTATTTTATAGGGTTGTAACTGGGCCAGTGTGGAGGTAGAGCTGGTTCACAATGCATTTTAGCATGGGCACTCATATATTACTTTTATCCAACTGGTGTGCTGTCTCCTGCAAACTCATCACACCTACACTCATCAGAGAGCTGCAATCCTTTCAATTCTCTGTTTTATAGTTTTGTTTCTCTGATCCCTTTGATGTTTAAATTAACCTATATTTCCCCCCTTTGTATCTAGGAAGGAAGACGTAGCAGATGTGATGCAGCAAATTTCGAGTTGCAGTAGCATCAAGAAGGAAACATGAAGTACAGGCCCTACTGTGCTTTACTGAGCTTCTCAGAGATTATGGTGGTGGGTTTTTTTAAAAACAAATTGAAGGTTTGTTATAACTCTGTATCAAGTCTATTGGTGCCACTTTCTACCAACAGCATGTGCTCACTTCCTATCTCTGTCACATTTTGGTAATTCTAACAGTATTTCAAGCTTTTTCATAATACCAAACAGGCAACCATATAGTGTAAACATAACTTTTAAATGCAATGGAAAACAAAAAAATTCCTATGATTCGCTTTTGTTCAATATTCACTTTATCAAGGTAATTTGGAGCCAAGCCCACAGTATCTTCTGAGGTGCACCAGCTGGAATTTCTGTGACAGTCTGGAACATGTACGAATCTATGTCCACTCCCCATTTACAACACTACCTCTGAGACCTTTCAGTTAATGCTAGCACTTTTCAGGTGCCGGCATACAGAAAAGACATAATCAGAAAACAGTAAAGCTCAAAGAGCCAAAGATCCTTAGTAGGCAATTATTCCAGTGATTTCTATGGAGTTTTTTTTACAATTTGAAGTATAGTTAATGTAACAGTACTCGAGAGGGCTTCAAAATTCCTGTAAAAATTCCACTGTCTTTTTTTTTAATGTTTTATTGTGAATTATATGATAGTTTACATGGGAGAACTTTAGTAGTTTACAGTCATTCTATCATCCCATTATCTTTTAATTCCATTTCCCACAAACTTTCTGGAGACCCCTGAAATTTAAAAGTATTAAAATGTATTAATATTGACATACACTGGAGACAAAGAAGTCCTGGTTGTAGGTTTACCCTGGATTGCCAGCTGCAAGGTCAGCAGTTCAAAGCGAACATTTGCTCTACGAGAGAAAGACGAGGCTTTCTGCTTCTGTAAAATGTATAGCCTCTGAAACCCCATACAGGATTGCTGAGCCAGAAATTGACTGGTGATTTTTGTTACTGTCCCCAAGCAATTTTTGATGTGCTTTTGTAACTATGTTGTTGTTGTTAAGTGCCATCGAGTCGGTTCCGACCAATAGCGACCCAGTACAGGGTTTCCGAGGGTGTAAATCTTTACGGGAGTAGAAAGCCTCATCTTTCTCCCGCGGAGCGGCTGGTAGTTTCGAACCGCTGACCTTAAGGTTCACAGCCCGATTCGTAACCACTACGCTACCAGAGCTCCTTTTTGTAACTATAGTGCCTACATTTTCTAAAAATTTATATGAGTAGAATTATGTAATATATACTCTTTTGGGTCTTATTTCACTCAGCATAATTATTGAGATTCATCCATGTTGAATCAAAATCCCTTTATTTTTATAGTTATTATTTCATTATAGGGATATTCCACAAGTTATTGATACTTTGACTAGTTAATGAACATTCTACTGTTTCCAGTATCTAAGCAATACAAGTAAAGCAGTTAGGAATAGTCATATGCTTCAAAAGTTCATGGATTAATAGAATGAAAAGATAATGGAATTTTTCCATCAAATTTCTGAAGCCCCCTTGTTAATTCTGTGTGGAGATGTGCTTTCACTTCTGGAAGGGTAAAATGGCTGGGTTGTATGGCTAACTTTTTAAGAAAAAAATTTTGCCAAAGTTGTATCATTCTAAATTGCTAACAGCAGTGTTAAGACTTGTAGTTTCTCCATAACCTCTTGGTATGGTCAGTCTTTCTTTAATTTAGACATTTTAATAGCTATGTTGTATGTCAGCATGACTTTTTTTTTAACCCTAGTTTTAATTTGCATTTCCCTAATGACTAAGGATCTGGAGTCCTGGTGTGGCACTGTGGGTTAATGCGCCAGACTGCAAAACTGTTTGACCTGCAAGGTCAGTAGTTCAAGTTTACCAGCTGCTCCTCGGAAACCCTGTACAGGGTTGCTATGGGTCGGAACCGACTCGACGGCACTTCACAACAACGACTAATGATATTGAGTGGTTATTTTACGTGCTAATGAATGGACAGCTGTACATATTCTCTGGTAAATTATGTTAGCATCTTTTGCTCATTTTTCATTGGGTTGTCTTATTAATATCAGGCTCTAAGTAAGAGTCCCTTCTAGATTCAAGGCATTTGTCAGATGTGTTATGCAAATGTGAGAAGGTTTCAAAAAGTTCATGGAAAATTGGAATTAAAAGTATCCACAAACTTTTTGAAGACCCCTTGTATAGTCAGTCTTCCTCTCAGTGGCTTTCCTTTTTAGTTTTAAAACACTGTCTTCTGAAAAATTAGCTTTGAATTTTAAAAAGGTCAATATATAATTTTTTAATCATGCTTTTTGCATCTCATTATACATGTTTTTGCTAAATCAAGTTCATTATAAACATAGCTTTTTAATATTCTGAGTTATGGTGTTGGAGAATATTAAAAGTGACATGGGCTGCCAAAAGAACCAACAGATATGTGTTGGAAGAAGTGCAGTCAGAGTGCTTCTTGGAGGCCAGGACAGCCAAACTTCATCTTTCATACTTTGGACATATTGTCAGGAAGGACCAGTCTCTGGAGAAGGATATCATGTTTGGTAAGACAGAGGGTCAGAGAAAAACAGGAAGACCCCCAGTGAGATGGATTGGTAAAATGGCAGCATCAATGGGCTCAAGTTGTGGCAACAATAGTGAGATAGGTCCAGGATCGGGCAGTGTTTCGTTCTGTGGTGCATAAGGTCGCTATGAGTCAGTACTGACTCAATGGCACCTAACAACAACAAGAACGATGTAAATATAACTTTTCTGCTAGGTTTTCCTTTAGAAGTTTTATAAACTTAACTTTCACATTTAAGTCTATGATTTTATTCAAGTTCACTTTTATACATGGTATGAGCTAAGGGTAAAAATTCATCTGTGTGCATATAGCTATCCAATTTTGCAGAAAAGATGGTCTTTCTTAATGGAATTACACTGACATCACTGTAGAAAACCAACTGGCCATATGTTGTTGTTGTGAATAAGTTTTGGTTTATCTTTGGTCCCTTTATTTTGTTCCAACGATCTATTTTTCTGTCTTCTAACACAGCACTGTCTTGGTAATGTAACTTTGTAAATCTCAAAATCAGGCAGTTTGTCCTCCGACTTTATTCTTTTTCAAAATCTATTTTTGATATCCTAAATCCTTTGTATTTTCATATAAACTTTAGAGTCACCTTGATAAGAACTATAACAGTCTACTGGGATTTGCACTGACGCTATAAATTAATTTGGAGAGATTAGGTATTTTAGCAATGTTAAAAAATGTAATGAATGAACATTTATTTAGGACTTCTCTACTTTCATTCAATAATGCCATGTTTTTAGTTTTAAGTATATAGATCTTGAACATCTTTTGCTACTATTGTTAAATAGCATGTAAAAATGAAAATAAATTTTCAAATTCCAACTGTTCATTGCTAGTTTGTAGAAATACAATTGGTTTCTGTATATTGACCTTATAGCCGACAATTTTGCATAAACAGATTTATGGATAAAAAAAGTGTGGTATATTCATACAATATAACAGTATTCAGCAATAAAAAGAAATAAACTATTGATAGGTGCAATGAAATGGATGAATAATCATGCTGAGAGTAAAAGACAACCAAATAATACAGTGGATACTCTCTAATTCCAAAATGCAAACTGATCTATTGTGACAAAGAGCACAGCAGTGGTTGTTTGATGGCAAGGAAGAAGGATTGTTGTTGTTAAGTGCCACCGAGTCGATTCTGGCTAATAGTAAACCTGTGTAGGGTTTCCTAGGAGCAGCTGGTTAAGTTTGTGATTACCAGTTCAGTGCTTATCCTACAGCACCACATCAGGAAGAGGAGTGGGCAAGTGGAATGACTAACTAGAAACTTTTGTGGGTGATGCCTATGTTCACTGTCTTGATTGAGGTGGAGATTTTATAGCTGTACACACCCATGTCAAAACATAACAAATTTTACAATTTAATTATGTGTAGTTTATTGTGTGTATATTTTACCTCAACAAAGTCATTTTGAAAAAGGATTTGTTCAAATGAAATCTCACTGCTGAAGCCTAATATAGAAATCTATCCTAGGGAATATAATAACCTGGCTGGAATATGTAGGGCTGTCTCCTTTGATTTCTCTGAGAGCCTTACAACAGTCCCACAGGACACAGTTTAAAAACCAATGAGATAAGCTAATTTCCCCACTTCATAGGGGAAAAACAAACCCAGGTTCTACAACCATTCAGCTGCTTAACAAAGAACTCTTAGTTCAATGACATCTCCATTATAGCCCATCTCCAGGAAGCCACTGCCTTATGCCCCATCATTCACCATCAGGTAAGGGAGGTGGGATGATAAAGGTGAGGTTTAAGGAGTTAAGGTCTCAGAACCTCCTACTCTTGGCCCTTCCACTAGATCAATTCTGCTTTTATCTGTTTTCTATCTTAGATTTGTATATGAAGCTCAATTGGAAAACTTACAAAGTTTAGAAAACATTATGCAAGCTATAATATCCTTGGAGTCCTGGTGTGGTGCTGTGGGTTAATGTGCCAGACTGCAAAGCTGTTTGAACTGTAAGGTTGGCAGTTTAAGCTCACCAGCTGCTCCTCGGAAACCCTATACAGGGTTGCTATGAATCAAAACTGACTCGATGGCACTTAACAAGAACAACAACAATCTATAGAAGAAAGCTTTCTTATATTAATGATTCACTTTAAAGGGCCGACCCTTCAGACACTTCATCTGCTTTCCTCTCACTCCAATCCCACATCTTTCTCATAGTCATTAAAGACTACTTATTAAGTTGTGAAGACTAATTATGAATCCATGGCCACACGGTTTTAATGTGTATAACAGAGCTTCAAAAAGTTTGTGAAAAAATTATTTATCTCTTAACTCCATTCTTCCCTATTTTTTTTGAAGCCCCCTTGCATGTCTCTCTGTCTTGCAGGTAAGGGCAGGGCAACTCTGATAAGAGACTTTGATCTTTTACCTGTAGTCGGGGCAGAATAATGTCACAGACTCTCTCACTATGTAGTAGCTCATCAATAAACTCATCCACATGCATCAGTTCAAACTCTGAAAGAAAAATCATTAGCTTAAGCAACTCTGAAATAACATATTTAGATGACCAAAAGATAAAGATGTGTAAGTTTCTTTATACAAAACAAGTAGAGTGTGCTCGGTCTAGAACATCCTTCGCCTGCACACATACTCATGAAAGGACTGCAGTGTGGTAATTACACAGAAGACACCACTGTCCAGCCTGCTGGGCTCATCACCACCTATCTTCATTCAGTCAGTCCACCTTCACTGAGGCCATCTCTGTACTAGGCCTCTTCTAGGAGCTGGGGGAACTGGGTGACTGAAACTATTCTGAGTAGCAGGAAAGACAAAAACAACAGCTAGCACAAACAGTTCTGAATTATGTAGGAGTTATGTTCTTGAATAAATCATATAACTCAATATAGAGCACAGTTCTCATATACTACATAGGATGACAGCTTTGCAGGGTTTCCATACTAAGTATTACCTTAGTTTGGTTCTCTATTATTTTGACACCCCCCCACCCCAATTAGAGGGGTGCTACTGGACTTCAGGCGTGGTACTGAAGGATAAGCACCAACCTGTGGTTAGTGGTCCAAACTCACCAGTTGCTCCTTGGAAACCCTATACAGGGTCCCTATGAGTTGGAACCAACTTGACAGCACTTAACAACAACAACTGACATCTAGTAAGTAGAGTCCAAGGATGCTGCTAAAACATCCCACAATGCATAGGACAGCTCTGACCCAAAATATCAATAGGTTGAGAAACCCTGTCTTAGCTTAACATAATATAACATCATGTTAAGTAGTAGTTCCATGGGGCCATGATCTTGTTCACTGTACAGTGACTGGCACTTAGTATGTACAAGAGTACTTCAAAAAGTTCGTAGAAAAATAGAATGAAAACAAAATGGAATTTCCCCATGAATTTTTTAAAGTCCCTCAGCATTCATTCAATGAATGAACTGATAATGAAAGTATAATACCAAATTGTTAACCTTCTACTGTTTAATGATACACACAGAGGGAAAAAAACAAATCTTTTTGTTAGGATAGTATGTGATCTGAGAGGACAGGTTTTGATTGCATTTCCCTAAATCCCACTTGATCAAAGAAAGTACCTCTGTAAAAAGTTTGGTATTGCCCCTCTTGGATATACTTAACTATTTTTCAATGGGATTCCAACAGAAGCACGAGTATATTTAGTTTATATACTGCAGAGTGAAATAGGGAAAATGGACTTTGGCTGGGAGGGTTGGAGAAGGCGTTTATTACTGGAGAAGGTAATTCTGGAGCTAGATCCTTGTAAGATGAGTAGTAATTTGCACTAACAAAGGCATACTGCAATAGGCGAATCTGCTAAAGTGTTCAAGAGCAAAGATGTCAGTCTGAAGACGAAACTGAGTCTGACTCAAGCCATGGTATTTCAATAACCTCAAATGCATGTGAAACTTGGACAATGAACAGGAAGACAGTAGAAGAATTGATGCATTTGAGTTATTTTGTTGGAGAAGAATATTAAAGGTACCATGGACTGCCAGAAGAACCAACAAATATTTGTTGGAAGAAGCACAGTCAGAATGCTCCTTAGAAGTCAGACTTGTCTCTCATACTTCAGGAAGGACCAGTCCCTGGAGAAGGACATCATGCTTGGTAAAGTGGAGGGACAGTGAAAAAGAGAGATCGACCTGCCCCTAATGAGACTGACTGGTACAGTAGCAGCAATGGGTTCATGTGTAGCAACAATTGTGAGGATGGTGCTAGACTGGCGGTGTTCTGTTCTGTTCTGTTGTACATAGGAGGCTCACTAGGGCTCGGAACCAACTCAGTGGTACCTAACAACATCAGCAAAGGTATGGGAGCACTGGTGGGCACTCTGTGATTAACACTGCACTGCTACCCACAAGGTCAGCGGTTCAAACCCACCAGATGCTCCTTCGAAACCCTAAATGGGGTCCTGACTCAATGTCACTTAACAAAAACAAACGTATTGAGGAGCCCTGCTAGCACTGTAACTGAATTGCTAACTATAATGTGGGCAATTCAAGCCCCTCAGCTCTCTGCAGGAGGAAGATGAGGCTGTCTGATTCCATATTTACAGTCTCAGAAATCCGTACACAGGGTTGCTGTGGTGAAAATGAACTCAATGGTAGTATGTTTTTTGACAAAGTACGCGAAGAATAAGACAAGTTCAAGGAAGAGTGATACTACTGAAGAAAATGTACATGAGATGCAAGGCAGGGAATAACAAAAGATGTAATTAGAAAGGTAGGCAGATAAGGGAAGAATGGCTCAGGCCAACAGAAAGCAGTCACTTAGGATACTTGCTGTAAAGGAGGTGCAGGACCTGAAAAGAATAGCATTGTAAATGAAGAGGAGCACTCCCAGTGTATTTAACCATGTGAGGGTACATGCATCAGTGAACTAAAACTGGCTCAGGAATGAAGGCCCAGAAATTTCACACTAAACTTACCCCCATTTCGGTTTTGGCTCTTGATTTTCCGATAGTCATTGTAGAGAGGCTCCAAGTACTTGTAGCAATCAATTGCAGTGCCTGTCAGTCTCATGTAAAGTGCCCCCAACATGCGGACATACCTGAAAAATACCCAGCAGTGAAACAACAGACCATCCTGAGAAATTGCTAAATTTACCATTGGATTTTCTTATAACAGTAGTGGATTAACAAATTCTTTCTTCTCTTTGGCAGATGGAAAAGCCGCCATTTTGAAGGCAGCATGGGGTGACAGAAAGATAGATAAAATAGAGACCAAAGTTTCCACTCTACCACTTATCCACTTGCTAAATTTTCAGTTTATTATACTATCTGTAAAACTGGTACAAAACATATTTACCTCACAGAATTATTATAAGAAGCACCTGAGATTCTGAATGTAACACCAGAAGGTGTCACAGTGAATAACAACATAAGAACTTGTACATATACACATGAATATACAAATTGTTGCTAGGAAGCAGAATGCTATTTCTGGAACAATGTCAGTTACTTCATTTCAAATTCTGATGCTATTACTAACTTTGTGATTCTTGACAAGATACTTGCTCCTCAATCCTAGTAAAATGGAGATGACGGTACCTAACTTACTGGTATTAATGAGAAAAGTGGCAGGCACAGCATATAACACATAGTAAGCAAGTTTGTCATTTTATGACAATCTAACCTCTTTCCGTTTCTTCTACATCCAACTACCTACTCAAATCTCCACTTGGATAACTAACTGTAAGACATCTGAATCTCAACAGTTCCAAAACTAGTCTTATTTTGTTGCTGTTAAGAGCTGCTCCTCCTGTAGTGTTCCTCATTATAGGGCACAACACCATCATTCGTGCTCAAGCGGTAAGACGTGGTGGTGGTGCCGCCATGGCAGTTGACTCATAGTGACCCTGTACAGAGTTTCCAAAAACTGCCAACCTTGTGAGCCACAGTGCTTGTCTCACAGAACCACACCAGGATCCATAGAATCAGAGTAATCCTTTAGTCTTTTCTTCTCTTCACACCCTACAGGCAATCTTTCCTCACATCTTGCCTGCCCTCCCTTCAAAACACATCACAATGAGGCCGCCTGTCATCAGTATCCAGGCCATCATCCTCATTCCAGCCACTGTGAACTCTTGCCGGGGAAAACAACGGCCTCCTCACTGGTCTCCCTGGATTTCACTCTTGACCCCTTTTCCAATCCCACCCAGTTTATATGTAAGTCCCCTAATACTAACACTCCAGTGGCTTCCCATCACACTTTACCACAGCCTCAAGGTCCTACAAGATGTTACCCTGGCTCCTTTGTCTCAAGCTCCCTGCATTCCTGTCTCACGAGCCCAGCTGCTCCCAACAGGCCTCCACACTTATCACTGTTGTTACTTCTATTAAAGACACTCTTTCCACTGGTGGGGTGACTGGCTCTCTCACATTGAGGTTTCTCCTCAAAAGTCATTTTATGACAATTTAACCTAAAATGTCCAGGAGAATGACGTAAGGTTAGTTTGTTCTTGTTGTTAAGTGCCATCAAGTTGATTCCAACCCATAGCGGCCCTGTATAGGGTTTCCAAGGAGCTTCAACTGCCAACCTTGCAGTTCAAACTGACTTTGCAGTCCAGCGCATTAGCCCACAGCGCCACACCAGGACTCCAGAAAAAAGAGGAAGACCCTCATGAGATGCACAGACACAGTGGCAGCAACAATGAGCTCAAATGTAATAATTTTGAGGCAATGAGTTGTAACTGGCTGGAGGGCACCTAACAACACAAAATGACTTAAATGATTATTCATTATCATAAACGATTGGAACCAACATAAATATGCATTAGAGTGTATCTGTAATTATAAGGCAGTATATTACAGTGGCTAAGAACACTAACTGGAGTCACACTGTCTGACTTCCAAATCCCACTTCTGCCGTTTCCTATTCTGTAAAATGAGGACAAGAGTAGCACCAGGAGAAGCAGTTTAGTAAAATGACTAAAAGCATGAATTCTAGAGCCAGAGTGTCCAGATTCACATCCTATTTCTAGAACCTACTAGCAACATGGCCCTGTGAAAGTGACTTAATGGATCTGTGCTCCAGCATTGTTGTTTTCACCTTTAACACATGAATGATAAATGTACGCACTACCTAAAATTGTTGGTAGGATTAAATAATCTTACCATATGTGAAGTGGTTAAAACAGTGCATCGTACAAATTAAATATTTTTCTATGATATACCTAAAATGGAATATATGCATTAAAAAGAATGAGAAAGACTTTGAGTACCAGTATGGAAAGCTCCAAGATTTGCTATTAAAGAACAAAGGCAAGGGGTAGAATAGAGTGCTTTGTTGTTGTTCAGTGCTGTCAAGTCGATTCCGACCCATAGCGACCCTGTATAGGGTTTCCAAGGAGCAGCTGGTGAGCTTGAACCACTAACCTTGCAGTTCAAATGACTTTGCAGTCTGGCGCATTAACCCACAGCACCACACCAGGACTCCAGAATAGAGTGCATAGCATGCTATAATTTGTGTATTGTTGTTGTTAAGTGTAACATCAAGTTGGTTCAACTCCAAACGACTTAGCATAGGGTTTCCAAAGAGCAGGTGGTGAGTTTAAACTGCTGATTTCGTGGTTGAAACTGAATTTGCAGTCCTGCGCTTATCCTACAGCACCACCAGAAGTCCTTAAGAAGGAAACAAATAAAATAGCTATCTCTTTGTTGCTGTTAAGGGTGTCAAGTCAGTTCTGACTCAAGAGTGTCCCTGTATAAGGTTTCTGAGGAGTGGCTGGTTGAGTTTGAACTGCCAATTTGCAGTTCAAACAGACCTTGCATTCGAGTACTTTTCCTACAGCACCATACCAGAACTCTTTAGCTATTTATAAATGAAATTTCTAGGAAACGTGTAAAACAGGAGGATGGCTTAGGTTGGAAAGGAGACATTTCAATATATTTTTATAACTTTGAATTCTGTAGCAAATGATCATTTTGCATATTGAGTAAATTAGTTTTTTGTTTTGCTACAGAGAAATCTAATCCATCTTGAGGTTTTATCTACTGTCTATAGTCTATTCATTCTTAAGTCCAGATTCTTCTTTTCCTAAATATTTACAATTATATGCTGTACAAGCTGCTCAAATTGAATATATCTGAAATAACTACTTTCCCAGACAAGATATGCTCTTCTTCCTCTACTTCTTACCTTTAGATATAAGAGCAAGTCTTCATTTTAGAAAGATCACACTAGCTTTGAGAGGAAAGAGACTAGAACCAGAGACCACTAAGTGGTTACAAAGTGAATACATAGAAAACCTCAATTGAGGGATGGAAGGAGAGGGGAAGACAGATTAAAAAGACAGCTATAGATGATCTAGAGGCCGGCGCTTCCTGGACCAGGCAGCTCAGGTAGGCTATGGGGAAAAGGGGAGGAATCGCACATAGGAAACCTCTGTCTAGCAGACAGACAGCCTTTGAGCAAACATAAGATCTTATATTTCAACATTCTGAACTCATTTTTTTGAAAGATCAAACTGCTGAAGAATTACAGGCATTTTAAGCTTTTGCCTGCCTGCATGCGGCTCCTGCTCCCCGCACCCACGCCGGCGAGTGCCTCTGCCCCCTGCAGACCTTGGAGTGCAGGGCGAGAGCATCCCCATTTAGAAGGCAGCTTTTCCAGAGAAAAGGAAGCAATAACTGGCAAAGCCGAACAAATAGGGATATCAGTGTGGATATCAGGAAATTCCGGGTACCCACGGTACAGAGAGACTGAAGAGGCATTTTTTACGTCATCAGATACATGCCCACTGAGGCCAAGACATGCCCTGAGGCCCAACCCAACCACAGAATGGTCACAAAGGCCCAGGCCCAACCAAGGCCCAAATCACCTACCCGCTGCGAGGCCCAGGCGGCTCACAGCCTGGTCACTTCCGAGGTCCAGGGCCCTCAAGGCACAACCCGCAGCGTAGTCTGGTCGCCAAGGACCAGGGCCTGAGGCCCAACCCGCTGTGTAGCCTGGTCGCTGAGGCCCAAGGCCCCTGAGGCCCAACCCGCTGTGTAGCCCGGTTGCCGAGGACCAGTGCCCCTGAGACCCAACCCGCCCTCAGCCCGGTCCCCCCAAGGCCCAATCCGCCCAACCCGCCCGCTGAGGCCCAAGCCACCCGATGCCCAGCTGCTGATACCCAGGCCCCCTGAGGCCCAAACCGCCTGCCCGAGGCCCAAACCACCCGCCCGAGGCCCAACCCTCCTGCAGCCCGGTTGCTGACGCCCAGGCCCCCAGAGGCCCAAACAGCTCGCCCTAGGCTCGACCCACCCGCCCAAGGCCTAAACGGCCAGCCGCCAAGGCCCAGGCCCAACTCAGGCCCAAAAAAGTTACTCTGATTTAAGTAATAAGAAGAGGGAAAAGGGAAGAATACATCCTGATCACATCTTCCTAGAGGTAATCAGAAAACATAAAAAATTACCAAAATACACAATTAATTATTAGGGCCACAGATAAACAATAAACATGTCCAAGAAGCAAAAGCAGATGACCATATCGGCACATGTCCAGAAAAAAGATAAAAAAATCTGAGACAAATGAACCAGAAGTAGACCTTCTCTCCACACTGGAAGGAGGGCAGGCCTTGGAGATACCTGAGAAAGAATTCAGAAAAATAATTATAAAATGTCTCAAAACACTTTACAATGGAGTTGAGAAAAATAAGGAAGAAGTCAGAAAAGTGTGACAGGAACAATCAAACAAGATAGATACAGCATTGATAACAATGCAAAACCTACAGAAAGAGGTGTAAACAATCAACAACAAAATGGCAGAAATAGAAAACTCTCTGAAAGGGCAAAGGAGTAGAATAGATGAGATGGAAGGAAGAATCAGTGAGCTGGAAGACAAGTCTCTCAATACCACTAAGATAGAAGAACAAGCACAAAAAAGGGTAAAAAATTAAAGGAAGGTCTAAGATTCATGTAGGACAACATGAAGAGGAATAACCTAAGAATTATTGGCATTCCAGAACAAAATGAGTCACACAAGTCCACAGAGGAAACAGTCGAAGAACTACTGGAAGAAAATTTCTCTAACATCCTCAAGGGCGAAAAGATAGACATACAGGAAAGC